TATTTAAAAAAAATTAACAATTTAAAAAATAACAAAGGGATATTAATTAAAATTAGAAAACAAATCTTGAGAAAAAAAAGTAAGTGGTGACTACATTTACCCGAGAATTTAAAAACCTAGGCTACTAGGCATGTATAGGCCTAACTAGATACCTAGGGTTGTGCATCTAATTTAATTTTTTTTTTAAATAAACAACACATTGTTTATTATGGTACATGAGTCACTAATAGAAAATTAAAAATAATAATATAATTTTGACATAAAATATTTTGTCTCTATTTATTAATAAAAACCACAACAAAAAATTTGTATCGGTAATTTGTTTTGATAAAAAAAAAAAGCATTTATGTAATGGATGTACTTTTTGATATTATTTTTTTAATTCAAAAATGAAAAAAATAGTGTTTACACTTATTAAAATAAATTAAAAAATATATGAAGAAATAAATCAACAAGGATTTATTATAAATCCATCATACAAATATAACTTATATATAAAAGGAAAAAATTAAAGATAAATTACAATAATCTTTTTAAAGTATTATAGATTGAAGGAAAAAAACATTAATTGCTATTTAAAAAAATAAATAATTTTAAAAATAACAAAGAAATATTAATTAAAATTAAAAAAACAAATCTTGAGAAAAAAAGCGAATCATGACTACATTTACCTAAGAATTAAAAACCTAGGCTGCTAGACATGCATAAGCCTAGCTAGATACCCAAGACTGTACAACTGATTTATTATATTTTTTTTAATAAATGATACATTGTTTATTATAGTATATATGACTCATTAATAAAAAATTAAAAAACAATAACATAACTCTGACATAAAAATATTTTATCTCTATTTATCAATAAAAATCACAGCAAAAAATTTTTATTTGTAATTTCTAATAAAAATGATTATGGAATAATATATATATATATATATATATATATATATATATTGTTGACAATTCTATAGACATAGCTAATATGTCAAATTGCTAATAAAATATATATTTATTTGATTAAAACCCGACAATTCCTTATCTATCCTCTATTTGTTCTTCTTCCTTAAAACAAAAACACATTAGCCCTTCACATTGACTTTAACAAAATAATTCTTTACTCACAAATATAGTGTTGAAATCATATCTCTTTTCTACCCATTTCAAGTTTGATTTCTTCTTCTTCATTTAATAAACTTAGGGTTTGACATTGTTAAATCCTATGTTATGTTTAAGTATGTTAACTGATGTGAGGGTGATTGATTTGCCATTTGTTTTATGTGATTTGGGGTTTTACGATTTTTGTTGATTTTTGCGTGTTGGTAATAAAGAAAAAATTATTTTTAAATTTTAGGTATTGTTTTAAATTATTATTATTATTTTACTTGGTTCAGTGAAGGATTTATTTTGTTGATAATTTAAATAGGTTCATGGTGAAAAAACATGAATTAAGTAGAATTTTGAGTTTAATGTGAAGATGTGAAATGAAATTGAAATGAGAGATTATTGTTTAAATTTTGATTGAAGGTTAAAGTGTGATTTGAAGATTAAACTCAAAACTTTTATTTTAGCAAGCTATGGTTTTATGTTTTATAATTGTAAGACTTTTGAGTTTTATAATGAATGGTGATACATAAATTAATAGTTATTTGTGCTCTTATTTATTGTTGGGATTGTGACTTTTAGGATTATAACTTATTTACAAATATATAAAAAAAATTTATGATTTTTATGAATTTCTAGAAATATATGTCTTCTTCTGGTTTAATATCATTATGTAAATTATTTTTTCTTAGGTATCATGTATTTAAGAAAAAATAAGTTCAAGTTCAACAAGAGCAATATTGCTTCATCACGTAGTAGTGTCAATATAATTGTGTTACGAATCTATGTGATGATTTTAAAGAGACATTTAATAAACAAGTTACCGAACAATACTCGGCCATTAAAGACAATAATAGAACATAGATCATTTTCTTTAATAAAGCATGTTTCAAGCAGAATAATAAGGTGGCCTTTTCATGTAATTAATGTTTTGTAACATGATGTTATTTATTTGTCTTAAGTTATTTTAAGCTTTACATTACATAAAAATAACTTTGATGAATTGATTTTCAAGGTTACCAATACTAAAACTGAATGTTCACTCACCTTTATAATGAAGTGGTCATTCGAATAAATATTATTTGAATGAAATCAGTTTCATGATCATCCTAAATGAATGTATATAGTATATGTTTAAGGTTAATAATATCTTATTCGAGTTACCAATCTTTTAGATTTTAAAAACTAATTAATGTAGGAAATCAATTAAAAAGAAATTTTGATGGGACGAGAGCAACGAGGTGCTTGTCAAGAGAGTGTGAGAAAACCGTGGTGCAAATAGGTAAGTTTAAATCAAATAATATTATATTATTGTAGATTCATTGTCTTTTATTTCCTTATCGTTTTTTTTACTTAACAAATTTTTGTATCAAGTTACATGATTTATGATATGATGCCTTGTCAAGTGAGTGTGAGAAAACCGCAGTGCAAATAGGTAAGTTTAAATCAAATAATATTATATTATTGTAAATTCATTATCTTTTATTTTCTTATCTTTTTTTTTACTTAACAAATTTTTGTATCAAGTTACATGATTTATGATATAATGTCTGTAAACAAATAATTAGGAAAGCTAACTCTAATGATGTTGAGAATCGAAAAATATATAAGCTAAGGCTTGTTATAGAGAGTAATTGAGAATTATTTCAATAATTTACGGAATAAAAAAGCTTTAAGAAGCGCTTCTGATTCGTTACACATAACAAAAATAAAGAAATGCATAGTTCAAAGAGCAAACACACTAGAGAAGAAAAGAAAAGAAAGGAGGAAAAATTTTAGGTGCTTGTAGATGGAGTTATATGAGGACTCCATCTAGGTGGTGGCCAAGTGGTAAAAACTTGAGACTAAGGGATTTGCTCTCTTTGTGGTCTCAGGTTCGAGTCCTTGGTTGCTCATATAATGGCCACTAGAGGCTTACATGGTAATTAACTTGCGGGTCCGTGGGATTAGTCGTGGTGCGTGCAAGCTGGCCCGGACACCCACGTTAATCTAAAAAAAAAAAAGGAAGATATGGGAAAAAAAGAAAAAAATTATTGATACAAGAGCAAAAATGTTCATTATAATTTTTTTTATATATAATTATCATTGCTTTAATAATATTTATTTGCATCAATAGTATAATTTAATTTAGGAATTTAACATCTTCTTTTTTTAACTTTATAGGAGCTATATACTGATAACTTGGCTATGAAATTTAGCAAAGCCACTTTTACTCATCCTTTTTGTAATCCTCAACTATTGTCAAAGACTTTTGTAAATGATGGACTCAATAGAAATTGAGTTTATAACATGCAAATGACATCAATCCAAGAAATGAGGAAAGACCAAGTTGTTTTAACTATAGACATATCATATTCGAGTCCAAAACAATACATTATAGAATTTTGATGAATTGGTCTAGAATATGGTTCAAGAACAATTGTCTATTGAGATGCAGAATATAAGAGCAGAAATGAAAAAAGTTCTCATGGCAAATCTCAGAGCATAAATGAGGACAAAAATGAAAACAGAACCCTAATAAGAAAATAAAATGTATATATAGATATACATTTTCCTCTTCTTTCTAGACCTTTTGGTTCATGATTTTAAGAGTTTTAATATATTGTTTATATACACACACATAAAAATTGATTGCGTATGAAATATTATTTAAATGTAATGTGAAATTTTTATAAGTATATTTTATTTTAGTCATGTGTTTTTGTTGTGGTTTATTGTGAATTATGGTGGTGGTTTATTGATTTTATAATGGTTATTTGTTTGTTTATTTGTTTGGGTAATAATGATAGATTTAGGGATTACAACAAATAGAAAAAAAAAAACACAAATGGAATTAGGACCGAAAATTTTATCAATGATTTTGTTGCCAATGAAGTTTCTAATGGAAAATAAATGAGAAAATCTTATTTTTTTTATTTTGTTAGCAATTAAAAATACTAGTGGAATTTAGCTTAAACATCGATGGGATATTGTATCAATATTATATAATTTTATGGTAGTGTCTTGTCATCCATAAGACAATAATTTTCTAGTTATTTTTTAGTGATTGAAAAATCACGGTACAAGTCTTTAAATTTTAAAAATTTATTTTCAACTCGTTTTCATAAAAAATACTTTAAAAATCCTAGTAACCTTAATAAATTCATTTTCATCCTAAAATACCCTCTAATCACTCGCAAAAAATAAAAATTAAATAATTATTTTAAAGAAAAATTATAAACTCAGATTCATCAAGGTTACAAGGCAACACCATTTGAATTTTTTGATAACTAATTTATAATAATTTGATTATTTTCTCTTTCTTCAACTTTTTCCGGTAACTTTTCTTATCTTATTTAATTTTTAGCATGAAAAAATATTAGCTTTGATACCAGCAAATTCACAATAAGTTAAATGAATTCTTGTGTTTAGAACTCTTCTAAGAGTAGTGATTGGACTAATTTCTCATATGATTCAGCTTTGCATTATTTTTATAAATTGAATTTCAAGAAATTTAATTTATAAGAATTTAATTTATAAAAAAGGTGCAAAACTAAATCAGGAAATCAATTTATAAAAAAGGTGCAAAACTAAACCGGATGGGAGATCCTCTAATTTGTAAAGTAATCTCTTTATTTTTCTTAGCCAATTATGCGTGGATGATTGAGTTTTTTGAAACAAAAAGAAATAAACATTATACAAATATTTCTCTATTAAGGACATTTTCAATGCTCAGCAACATAATTTCAGCTATTCAATCAGATTTATATCAAGCCAAAAACATATTAATGAGTGGCCGAATTTTGACATATTTTCAACTTGAAATGGGTCGAAGTCATCCCCACAAAGAAGACTCCATATCCAGGAATTGATGCAATCTAAAGCCAAAGCCAGTCAATATATAAAGGAAAAGGAAAATAGAAGAAAAACAAAGAGAAATCATCCATGTTTTCTTGCTAATTAAATGACAAGATTTTCCCAATCAGCGTCGAGTTTGTGCATGCCATGGCAGTTAATTGTAACGATGGGACTAATGAAGGAAGGAAGGAAAGAAATAATATTTTAGATGAAGTCGATAACACTTAGCAGAGGTTGAAACAGCAAAGGTAATCAAAGCAGCTCTCTGAGCAATCATAACAGCAGGAACAGCTGCATCCCCCGTCAAACACAAACACAAACAATCAATTACATGCTCAAAAGAAAATTGGATTTTATCTTTTGATTCAGAACGGAAAAACAGAAGACAAACCCAATAAAGATAGAGGATATAATAATAATGATACCATTCGTTGACAGCTTTTTCCTGTTCATCTTCTTCTACGTGGTAATCCCTGTCTATGGTCATTGTTGCTGGTGGCTCCATCTCTCTCTCTCTCTCTCTAGATTGTTGTTAACTGTTTGCTAACTAAGCAAGGCTCTGTTCTTTTTTGGCTCTTTTCTTTTTTGTTCTTTAGAGAAAAGAAGGAATGGGAAGTGACAGTGAATGACAGGGAAGGGTCGAAGGGATGGGGAAGGAAATAAACAAGTGCCTATGATCACGTGAATGCATTCCTCTCTTTCCATTTCTTTATTTGTTCTAGTGTTTAATAATGAATAAAGATAATTCATCAATAAAAATAAAATACATTTTTTTTTAATTGTGTCTTTAATAATAACTCCTTTATTGACTATGCTATCGTTGTTACTTGGATAAAAATAAGTTGATTATAAAAAATAATATTTAAATTATCAGATTACTTTTTACAATATTATAAAATTTGGTATAATTGTTTAAGAAAAAAACAAAGAGAAGGAATCACGTTCAAGATACCCTGGACTAGGCATGCTGCTCGAGACGAGCATAATCTTCAATAGACTAAAAGCCTGTAATTAAGTGGTAGCATATGAATAAACATGGTTTATTTTTCAATAATTTGGCATAAAAGCTGCTATACCTAGGGTTAGAGTGATCTTCAGCAAAGTTTTAAGCACAAGTGGGAGGAAGGTGCATGGATCCTGCCAGATGGGTGTCCACTTTAATTCTAAAATAGATAAAAACCCGACGTGAGCAGACAGTGTCATGTAATGGATGGAAGTTGTAAGCCCTTTTCCCTGTACAAAAACGATGATCGAATATCATGGAAAAGGGTGATGTTGCCTGAAAAGTGCTGAACCGGTGGAGGTTTCTGGTGAGATAACAGTGCATCTTTGCCATACAATTGACTACAAAGGATGTCATGCGATGGTAGGCCAATGTTCGGACCCCTCCGTGTCATGTGAAGGAGGATAGGTAGCTTTAAGTAGGGCCTAGAAAGTCCGCTTTTATTTATTTGTACGGTGGACCTGAAAAGACGTTGGCCTCTAGTATTGCAAGAGAGTAATTTCAAGAGAGAAAGAAAAACGTGTGTATATTGAATTTAACATGGTTAGTTACTTCAATAATATGATTATTAAAAAAAATTAAAAATAAATAAATAAAATAGTCTTATAAAAAATAAAAAATATTTAAAAATTAATCATTACCAAATTAAATATTGAAAAACAAATTAAAAAAATCAATTTAAAAAAACAAAACACATAATCTATATTAACATATAAAATTTATGGCCTGATTATAAGATAAGAACAACTTTATTTAAAAGATGTTGAATAAAAAAATAGAGGTCAACTCTTCAACAAACTAAATGATAAAAGATAAAATTAAAAAAACACATCAGAAAAAAAAAACTCAACTAACTTGCAACCTGGGATATGATACTAGAATAACCTCATTGAAAAAAACAAAAAAAAAATCACAACATTAAAGGATAAAAAATCTAATGTTAAATAAAAAAATTTAAAAACAAAAATCTAAAATAAAAATTTTAATATCAAATCAGACTAGTCTATAAAATTATTGACATATGATACTCGTTAGAAAACAAACCTTAAAAACAATAACAAAACAATATTCCTATTAATCCTAAATTTAAAAAGAAAAAAAATAGTAATTAAAACAATAAGAATGAGAATTAAATGAAATAAAATAATAAGAAATAAAATTAAAAAATAAAATAAATCTATAAAATCAAAAAATCAAAATCATAAGAATGAGAATTAAATATGATAAATAAGAAAATTGAAGGAGGTTGAAATTGAAATAAAATTTTAATTTTATAAATTATTTTAAATAAAATAAATATAATAAAAATAACAAATACCAAATCTGAAAAAAAAATTAAAGAGTTTTTTTTAAAAAATAAAGGGTTAGACATGAAAACCAAGAAGAGAAAAAAAAAGTTATTATTGTTAAATTAAAGGTTTATTGGCAATACTCACTACTTATGAATGATAGGTAGTTAAGATGATTTGAATGTCACCTCACAAGCCACCATTTGTTAACTGAAAATATCTCATGTGCCACCTAAATAAAAGAGATACCTTTTTTTTATGAGCATATGCAACATATACATTAATTATATTTTTTTAAATAATATTTTATATTTATTAAAAATAGTAAAACTCTTCTATTTTAACTTGATTATAATAATAATAAAAAAAAACCCCTAGACACCATGATAAAAAATTTTATAACAAACAAAAACTAGCTTAATAATTTTTATTTCAAAGATAATCATCATTTCAATTTATTTTTAAAAAAGGAAAAGATTAGGAAGCCGTATTATGTATTGAATAATTTTACCATGTTAAAAAAATATAAAAAGATTGATTTATCTCAATTAATCTAATAATAATCAATGAATCATATAGAATAAACCGCATTATTCTTAACATTAAGGCTATTGGTTTTTGTTGAGAAAAAGAAAATATCTTTATATTGTTTTAATCCATGGTATTTTATGTCTTGATCCATAATGATTTATCATCTCCTTTTCTTTTCTTTTGTTTAATATCTCCTTCATTTTTGTCTTCAATATTAAAAATCTCCTTTCCTTTTATGCATTCTTGCATTTCCTTGTTATCGTTTTATTTAGCATTTCAGAAAGATTGTTTACCTACAGTTAAGCAAATTCGATTAAAATACCTTTTCCAGTTCTTTTTTCACATCAAAACGATTTTGTATTTTATTTTTTAAAATCCTCTTCCCTTTTTTCGAATTACAAAAATAGTATTTGAGTGAGTATTAAATGGCATAAGCATTTAACATAAGCACTACAGTATGAAAAAAGTATGAGATATTCGAATTACAAATATGGTATTTGTGTCAGCTCTAACTGTTTATAGATTATAACATGTCTGTCTGTCTTTTTCATGATCTCTTAAAAAATTATTTGAATTAAAAAAAAAAGGTTTCATTATAAAGATAAATAAATAAATTAGAGTAGTGCTTTATCTTGATAGTAGTGATCAATTCAGTTCTTTGCTCCGTTTACCACTAACATTATTAAAATTAAAAGAAAAATTGAGACCCTTCTATGTACTTAAACATGGTTACTCTTCACCATAATAAATAGTATAATTATCATTTTATATTTTTTTATAAGAAATCAATAAATTTGTTCGGGATAAAAAGAATTTTTTTTCTTAGGACTCATTCATAATTATAAAATTGATCGAAGATAATTCAGTTTTTTTACATTTTAAATACAAAATGTGATGACTATATTATATTAAAAAAAATCAAAAGATTAAACAAGATAATTCAATCCATTTACTTTTATTACATTTTAAAATCACAATATAAAAACCACAATATCTTTAAAAACAAAAACAAAAAATAAACTTATATCCAAAGGATTTAATTTTGAATTTTTGAATTTTTTTTTATAATCAACAAGTTGACAAGGATATAATTTGGTTTTTTAATTGATATAAATATTATTTTTTAAAAAAAGTTGTTAACGGCACGCACTAGCTAGTGGGTGATATTCTTGTCTTTCAAGCAATATATATGGCATTATCTCATGTCTAAATATTGTCTTTTAAGACAATGTTGAAAGTGTTTTGCTATGATTTTTTTGTTGGCGCTACACATATATATAACATCACAGTAATTAGGTTCTAGTGGACTTTTTTCTATTTTTTTTGTTTTTCTTTTCTCCTTGCCAAAATATAAAAATATTATTTTTTTCAATTTGATCTTTATTTTTTTAATTGATATTTATTTTTGTTTTTTATTATCTTTTTTTCCTTTAATTTTGTCTCTCATCATATAGTTTCATTTAATTTTTATATCAAATTTGATTCTTATTCTTTTAATTAATTTTTTATCTTTTTTTTAATTGAGTTTTATTTTCAACTTCATCTCTCAACAATTGATTTTAAATTATTATTTTTATATTAAATTTAGTTCCTTTTCTTTTAATAGTTATTTCTTTTGTTTTGAATCCTTTTTTATTGTATTTTATTTTCAATTTTATCCCTCAATATTTTGATGATTTAGAATTTTACTTTATTATTTTTTAGAGTTTGCCTTCAATGGGGTTAATCTTAAGCTCGTGACTAAGATCATAGGTTGACTTTGGTTTTTTCTTTGTTATTTTTTTTAAAAAAAATTTTAATTTTATTCTTCAACATTTGATTTAGTGGGAATTAATATTTGTGTTTTTTTTAAAAAAAATTATTTCAATAAGGTTACCACAATCATGTGTTCATAGTCGCAAGATTAATAGATTAACCAAGGTTTACTGAAGCTTTTTTTGTTTTTTTTAATCTTTTTGTTTTTCAATTCTAATCTCCAACATTTTCATGTAGCAAATGAAGATTTGTGTTGTTTACAATGAAGCTGATGATATATGCTAGACAGAAAAGAAGAAATCTGTTCAAGCTGATATCATATGATCATCATTCTGTCCAACAGTTTTCAAGATTCAATACCAACTACTAAAATATAAAATTTGCAAGAAGATTTTACATTGGGGACTGCCCAAGAATCTATTAGGATTATTATGTCACGTGAAATTTCCTTGGAAAATTGACAGGAACACGGTAGATGGATAGTTATAACTTTTCTCTAAAATCTAATGATGTTACATTAAGGCAAGAATAATACCTTAGGAAATATACATACAGTTGAACTTCTGAAATGCTGAAGCTCTAAACTCAATGAATAGTGTACAAAACCTGCTCCTAAAATCCTTGACACGGTCTGTATTTCAGGATGAACAAGCATGTAAAACATCGGGAAGTATTGATGATAATGATAAAGCGAAGAATTTCTACTCAGTAAACTGTGGCCACCGGAAATCTACCAGCATGCACAAGGGACAGCAATAGAGCGTTTTCCAATTCAGAGTTTATTGTTAGCTTAGCCTATTAAAAAAAACAAGCAGAGGCTCTTCCGGTTTTGTGTTACCTGAAGCCATGGTTAATTTTAGCGCTACATTTGCTTAAAATGGGCATTGTAGAAGAAGAAGACCTGGCGTGATGTATGCTCCAATCCAACTGCAGAGGAACTAGAGTAGGAAGAAACTCAGGAACTGGAAAAGGAGAATGATGGAGACCATTTTGCCAGTTAAGTTGGAAGTTTCATGGCGAGGTCGTTGGACAGCCTTGCTGGAGAAAAAGAATAATGCA